ATTACATAGTAATTGATGTCAAGAAACTGTACATAGTATAGAAATTTCAAGAAATTTCTCATCATTTAGGAATACTCGGCCGTTCAATGAAGTCTATCTCATGACTGTTTCGTAATTGCATATTGGATACGGGCAAAAAGCATGCCATGAGTATGATGTTCACGACGTCAAACTAGTTTATCACTATATCATACTGCGATAAAAACCTAAGTTTTGCTAGTTAAAATTAGCACTTAAAGTTCTCAAGAAGGGTTGCCATTCTTTAATACAAAATTTAAGCACTGCCTCTCCGCTTTACCACGCTTCTATTACCAGATGTTTCCTCTAAAAGAAATATAAAAAGTATCGCTACTGATATGATGTTGAGATGATAAGCAATGAAATTTCATCACCTTTCTAGTTTGTAACATAACATATTCAGCAATAGGCAACCGAGCATGCGCATATCCCTTTTCTGTTGCTAATTTTAAGCAATGTCCTTTGAGGGAATTATGATCTAGCAAACCACCAATAACATATCTAAATATTTTCCCATTCATATGACTAATATTAAATAATTGAAAAGAAAGCAAAACATTTAAAATTTTATCGAGAATGAAATAAAAATCAACGAAAATTAAAATTAAATTGACATTGAAAACTTTCTTATGCTGAAAAGGATCTAATATATAGGAAAAAATTCAGGGATGAACTCAACTGTATGAAGACCATTTTCGGCACCCCATTCAGGGATGAACTAAACTATGTGAAGACCGTTCTCGGTACCTCATTATATACAAAACAATAAAAAAGAGGATCAAAATTATGGGAAATTTAAATATTTGTTTAACACGGAAATAGATTACAAACCTACACTTTTGAACTATCCAGTGTTTGCAATGAATTTTCCGAATCCGCCGTCAAGTAGACAATCTCATTTTTTTCAAATACCATATCCAAAGGTTGTTCTTTGAATACCACATCCCAATGATGATTATTTGGATTTTCAAAAAATAACTGAAAACAATTTTTGTTTCAAATTAGTAAAACCAACTTGCAAATTTTCCATAACTAGCTGAAATAAAATTCGATATCACTAATATCTAACAATAAAAACAAAAAACAAAAAAACCTTGTTCTGCGGACCAGAAAAGCCGACAACACTCAGCTGCAAAGGATTTTCAGCTCGACGATTAACAGCATATGCATGAGCTAGTTGAACGAAAAGATGACGAATGTCTTTTGGTCGCATCAAAGGTTCAAACTGCATGTCGATAGCAACTCTTTGCTTACACCTTGAATCTTCCATTCGACTGCAACTAGCAGTAACATTAAAATAGTTATTATACAAATAATTAACTTTTGAAATTAAAATAGACCAGAAATGGTAGATAAAATGAGATGTACATATCTAGACATTACTACAAAAATATGAGAAGTAATTCTTCAAATAAGAATTACCTGATATGTGTCCGTCTGGGTTTTATGCAACCAGCTTCACGTTGTATAGCGCGCTTCATTTTTTTCCTCATTCTTTCTTTAGCTCGCTTGTCTTTCTTGCGGAAAAATTTTTCCTGCTCCTTTCTCAATCTGAAAAAACCGGAAGTATACTATTTATCAGATACAAACAATTAAATGCAATAAATACATCCTATATGCATTAAGAAAAAACAGATTAATCAAAACTATTAGTAATAAAATATTTATAATATAAATAAGCGAATGCTCCCAAATTTCACTGCATTCATTCCCCGTAAGCTGAATATAAAAGATCGTACCAATAATGAAGTGTTTAAAATTTTCAAAAAAAACCCTAACTTTCTCATTTGTTTTTTAGATAGACATTTTTTCATATCAGTAATGCTTGCTTCGCCCAAAATTTGATTCATATTCATATCATCACTTTCTATCTTCTGTACTACAGCATTTTCATCTGATTGCAGTTCCTTTATTTCAGTAGCTGCTTCGGATTTACCTTCCAGCACATATTGTTCTGAATCAGCCATTTAAATATCCTATAGATATAATAAAAATCTGAATTAAGAAATCACCGTGCATCCAATTTATGGAAGTAATCCCGATAAGGATTACTGTCATCCTACCGTCTATTTAAAATTCGTAAAACTCGAAATCTTCCGATACTATCAATACAATAAAAAACAAGAGTGAAAGACGTCGCGAAGAAAGGCCAAAAGAAGATGAATTGCCTTGCTTATAGGTTAACACTTTTAGGTATTAAAAAAACAATAACATGTTCAGTTGAACAAAAAATGCATGTCTGGAATTATTTATTTTCTCTCATAAGTTCTGATCGACCAAGAATATTGCTGGTCAGATTATCACATGAAAGCAATGTGCATCACTGGTAATAAAGTTATATTATACACAACAAAAATGCGGTACGCTGTGTAAGAAATAAATTTTTTGAAAGTCTGACGACAAACTTTTGAACAATTCCAAATTGCTTAAACAGTTCCATT